TGGGTTAGGGCTGGGAGAGCCAGATTTAAACTCACACTCAATCATGAAGTTTTCTAACTGAGATTGGATCGATCATTATCCTCAAATGGTTATTATGAGGATTAAATAAAGCCGAGAATTACGTAGACCACTGTGGCTCTTAGATGAGGCAAACTGATGCCTGCAGATGCCAACTAAACATCATACTCCATTTATCTTAAGTTTATAAAATCTTCTTTTGCTTTTTTTTTAAAGGAACTCTGGGATCTTATAAAACAGCAGTGTCTTGAAATGTATTTATTTTTACTTCTTATTTTCAGTTAACTTCAGAGGCCTATTTTCTGAGGACATCTGTATGAAACCCAGAGGAATTTATAGAAATGACAACATTGATTGATTTGGTGTCATCAAGCTCCCTCTTGACTCTTGGCAACCATAGCTAGATTATGTCCAGGATTTTCTGTCTTCTACATCTGATCATCCTCTTTTTCTTTTTACCTTTCCCAGGATGGTAATTTCTTCAGAGAAGTAGTTCTTCGCACAGTATGAAAACATTAAGAGGCAGAAATCTGCTTTCAGCAGGTTAATTTGAAAGTTAAAAGTTTTTTTTTTTAAATTAAGTGAAGGTGGGCAGGGAATCTCTTGGAAGTCAAGAATTGTTTGTGGCCATCATGTTTGGGAATATCACACTGCTTTGATATCCCCAAACAAGATGATAATGAATTTTTAAAATTACAGAAGTGTGTGCAGACGGAACATATAGTGGACTGAGCTGGCACTTTGCTATTTCTGTAGGATTTTTCTTTTCTTTTTTGTTTTGTAAATTATTTGAAGATGATTGGAAAAAATGTGTTTCCTGCAAATTAAATAAGGCTTAGAAGCTTAATATTTGAAAAATCGATATGTTTAGTGCCATTCAACTCCTTGCGTTAAGATTGGCTAGGTAGCCCCTGCTATTTCCTGCAAGTTGGTATAGCTCAAGGGTCTCCAAACGTGGCAATTTTAAGACTTGTGAACTTTCCCTGGCTAAGGAATTCTGGGAGTTGAAGTCCACAATTCTTAAAATTGCCAGGTTTGGAGACCTCTGGTTTAACTCACAGAGTGGTTGTTGGAACTTCTCAATAGTACCACACTTATTATGGAATTGATTCTCAAGAAACGCCCCATCTTCCCCATTCCCAGCTGCCCCCCCCCATCTTTTTTTAGACAGCAGTGGAAAACATTCCAGTTAACCCCAACATTAATAGGATAACAAATACTCCACAATTAGACCTTCAGATTTATATTGGTTTTTAATGAAATCTTTTTACGATTGTTTTTAAAGATAGTTGATTTTATTGTTATTTCTAGCTATAATTTTATTCCTTAGCTATAATTTTATTCCTTAGCTATAATTTTATTCCTTTATTCCTTTGCTAATAGAAACATGTTCCTTCATGAGGATGAGCTATATAGAAATAAGATGTTAATCATGTAAATCTGTCAAAAAAAATTGAATAGGTCTTTGCTGTTGCGCTACTACATTTAATTATCTTTTGATTCCTTCTCCAATTTGATAATGAATTCCCTCCACACACAGGACTGAACACTACCATTTGGACAGATAACTAAAGGCTGATGAAATTACCTTTTCTGCTGTAGAAATGGGAACACATACATAATCAGTTTTCTTTACTCAACCAATTGATCATTCCACGGATGTACCTAGCTTAACATTAAATTCTTCTTTTTATATAAGACCTAAAAAAGATGAAAACCAGAGCAGCTGTATTACACTTAGATCATTAGTGGCAGTAGATAAATAGTGCAGATCATTCACGGTTAAGCTCTTAGGTAACTTTATGTCTTTTCCTAATTTCTACCTTAAAATCTCATATCATTATTTGATGCAAGAAGCTAACTTATGAAAAGGGTTAAAGTTTTGTTTAACACGAGATGTCGTGCCGGGTTTTAGGTTTCCAAGGGGGAAATGGTCACTGAAAATCTCTTACCTGACAAAAACAATTTCAATTTACTGATAGGAAGGATAGCATAGTTTCCAACTTCATTTTTTTGTTCAGATGTTTATTCTTTCAGATTTCATTTTCAAATGGCAGTCCCGCTTGCCATAATGGAATGGTGGGAGACAGTATTTTTTTTTCCAGAAAGAAATTACATTTGATAATCCTTCAGATGGATATTGTCCATTCCCAATTGAGTGATCATATGTTTCTAAAAGACAACAAACAGGATGGGAGTCTGTTTTATGGCTTTCTTCAACCTGTAATGTTCTAAACAAAAAATAAAGACCCCTGCAGTTATCTTATTTGTATGTGAATAATGTATTAATTCTGAGCCATGAGAATTTAAACATTGCTCAAGAATTTTATGGGGGGGAGGGGGATAATCTCGAAATACGAGATCCCGTATTTGGGTTAGATGTCCTTGACTTTTCTACTAATCTTTTAAAGCTCTAAATCTTCAGTGGGTAGACAGGATGAAACTTCAGTTTTATCACAGGAGTCCTAATCTAACCTTATCTAGCTTCAGTTAATCACATTTTATGGCTTAGATGTAGATGGAAAAGTTGGATCCTGATAAAGTAATTGACCTTTACTTTCGCATTGCCATTTAAAAATCTCAGAAGAAGTCTTCCCTAATCCTATCTTGAAATATCAACTTTGTTATGATGTGTGTGAGAGAAGGAGGGAGAGGGAGTGTGTGTGTGTGTGTATGTGTGAGAGAGATTGAGAGACTTATTTTCTGGTACATTTAAGATTGGCAGATGGATTTTCTAGATAGAATGTAGATGATAGATAGATAGATAGATAGATAGATAGATAGATAGATAGATAGATAGATAGATA